ACATTTTCACCCAAACAATATCATCCAGTCTCATGGCTTTGGAAAATAGTTATTTGTTGACAACTCCAATATTTATATTTCCAGTCTCACTTTTTCCCTCAACTCATGATGTCAACTTTCCACTTGATCTCTCTACTTAAAGTATTACAAGTAGTGCACACTTAGTGTGTTTAGATTTAAACTCCTGATTGCCTCTGTTCCTTAATGCTCCTCCTATAGTTTTCTCCAACACAGAAATATTCAATCAATGAAAGCTTGTATGGCCATAAAGGTGGATTAGGAACTGGCACTCATCCTGGTTTTTTAGTGCCTGTGTCCTAACAGTTACTCTATGAGGTTATATGTACCTTTCTTTGCTAGATTAGATGTTTATCTAACTAATATGAGATTTTGATGTCTAATAATGCTTTCAACTTAAAAATTCATTCAATAAAGAGAGACTTGAAAGTCAATTGAACAAATTTAAATTAAAATATACATCAGCTTATATTTTGTTAATTTCAACGCTCTTATTAATATTTTGTTTAGCAATTATACTAATTCATTTATAATTTAAAATGATTGATATTTTGAGAGAGTTTATCAGTTCAACGTTGTTGAAAACTTGTGGTTTTCCTATTTCATATGCACGAATTCTTGTTCTCAAAGACTACAAAGCACTTGCAATGATCAGAAGTAATGCAATACAATACTGAGATCATTGTTTCCCTATCTTTAAAATAACACATTAATAATTCCCATTTATTAACTGGCCAGCCAATATCTAGAATTGGCTGCAAGATATTTAGTTTTAGTGAGTTAAAACAATAAGCTAAATCTATCTCTCACACACCAGGAAGTGCTATAAAATGTGAATTTAAAAATGAATTCCCAGAAGTGTTTTAAATCAAAGTTGAACAGTAATTATATTTTATTGCCTTTTTCATAAAGTAGCTTGTCAGAATGTCCAGTTTTTAATGTGGTTCAACTCATTATATTCGTATTGGAGTTACATGGGAGAAGGACACCATGAAAAATGGCAGATTTCTAAAGAATCTTTTATAATTCCTGTTCTAACGTGTCATCAACATTTTACCAGACTCTGAAAAATACTCTTGGTTTTACTGATGGTACACACATGACATTTATCCTGCCTGCAACATAATCTCAACCCGCTCCAAAGAGGAAAAGAGCAATGTAGTGACAAATGTAGTAATTAACATCTGGGTTTAGCAAGCAGGGAACAAGAAACATATGTTCACTATTAAGATAGGATTTACCCATTTGGATTTATTTTGACATTTGATTTCTGCTTTAAAAGCATAACATTGCTTAAGCCTTAAGTGATATTATTTCTTATTTTAGGGGACTTCCAGGAATTAACAACAATATAAGAGCTAAAAATCACAATGAATATGGCTTAAAATTTTTAAAAACAACAACTGCTGTTTGCATATTTCAACTAAATTCAAATGTTCACATTTGTTTAAGTACTACGATCATTTTCTATAGCTTTTATTATATGTTTATATTGCTCTCTATACAGATCTTATTCAGGTCACAACACAATTCCACCGAAACAGAGAAGAATTTAAAGAAGCAAAAGGAATTCTTGTTATCACAACTATAATTTGTTAGTAGAATGAAACTGCAAACATTGAAAGAAGAAAAGAAGTTTCTATCAGTTTGAGAGTAGAGTGTAAAACTAAACAAACCCAAGCCAAATAGGTACGGCACTAGGATGTCTAAACAGATGCTTGCAATCTCATTAGGAGAGATATCGGGATAGTGTATTACTGTGGTCTTCATTTATGCCTATTTTCTTTTATTGATAGGTGTGTGTGTGTGTGTGTGTGTGTGTCTATTTCCACAGCATGGGGAATACTTAATGAAGGCATTGGCTAAGGTGTGTGAGAGAGAGAGAGAGAGAGAGAGAGAGAGAGAGTCTCAGAAATTCATGGTCATCCCTCTATCTGGGCTGCTCCTGTGTCTTTAGTCCAACCCCCAGAGAGCTCCTTCCCATCTAACTTGACTGATACCAGATACTGGACTTTAAAGCGACCTCTTTATCTAATTTCCTTGACAAAAAGCAAGACTTATTATAATTGAGAATGCCCTAGAAGAGCTCATAATACTTTATTTTTCAATTTAACTTTTTGTTTTTATTTATTATTTATTTTTAAAAATCTTTATTTTTGTGAGTATTCCATATGCCCCCTTCTTCCCCACTGACCTCTTCTAGCCCACTCACCCCAGCAATGACTATGATGGGCAACGATATTCACTAAGCCTTGCTGTGCTAAACTGCCCCTTTGCAAGTTTTCCTTACCTGTATGTACATGACTCCTTTGCTTTCCTTTCTCATAGCAGTAGTCTACTAACACTTCTATATGAACCCCTACTGTGGGCAGATACATGTAGGAGTTCCCTATTGATGGCCTGCTGCCATGTCAAGACAGAAATCAAGCCCGGCTGGTGTTGCTCAGTGGTTGAGCGCTGACCTATAAACCAGGAGGTCAAGGTTCGATTCCCGGTCAGGGCACATGCCTGAGTTGCAGGCTCAATCCCAGTAGGGGGTGTGAAGGGGGCAGCCGATCAGTAATTCTCTCTCATCATTGATGTTTCTATTTCTCTCTCTTCCTTTTTTTTCTGAAATCAAATCTATAATAATAAAAGCATAATATGCTAATTAGACTGGACACCTTCCAGATGTCCTTCCTTCCAGACAAAGTCACAGCGGGCGGGGGCCGAGGCAGAGGTGACAAAGGTCCTCAGCTGTGGTGGCAGCGGGCTGGGGGGCAGGGGCCGGGGACAAGGCCCTTGCATGAATTTCGTGCATTGGGCCTCTAATATACATATAAAAGACAGATCTCAACATGCATCCTAGTTACACTAGGATGAAATCAGAAGCCTATCCCAGTGTGCACTTACTTGACCAGCACTTTAATGGGTACTTGATATTTTGTCCATTTCCTTGAAAGGCATAGTTTTAAAAACAGCTTATTATTATTAAAGAAAGGCAGCCTGCAGCATGCAAAGATGGCAATCCCATCCACTATCCCCTCAGCTCTTCCCCTTACAGACAACTGCCATATTCATGTGGTCCTTGACTATAGCATAAGTTAATGGACATGACCTTCAGAGAATGTCAGAATTAATAAAGAACCTTAAGATGTCAACATTCAATATTCTTGAACATGCAAAAGGGATTTGAAACTCAATGAAATAAAGTTGCCTTGGTCATTCTTTACGAGTATGAGCAGCCAAGGCTCTTAGATAACCAGAAGAGCCTGTTCCGAGCTGGCAGCTAGCAGGATTCTCAAGACTGTTTTTATCAACCCAGAGGTCTCTGTCATGGGGTTCATGTGGGGTACTAGACAGTGGAGTGACGAAAAGAAATCAAAATTACATTACTATTTATTTAGTAACATTATCTAAGTTTTTCCCCCAAATGTTCTGTTTTCTACACATTTTAAAATCTTATTTATCACTATTAGTGCAGTAGTTTATGTATATAAGAAAATGAATTGTATGTTTTAGAAGCATGAGCTAATTTCTTTAAAAGAAAAAACTGGTAAGCTATAAGAATAAATAAGAGACAACTAAATACTTTTCAGATGCAAACTCAATCTCTTAGGTTTTAAAATCTCATAAGTTAGTATATGCTAATGATTCTGTCATTTTTATTTAAAATACTTATTTAGTATTGACGAGTTTATAACTGTGCTATCCATGGGTAAAAAATGAATGAATATAGTTACTGAGTTGTTTAAACTACAGAACAAGAGGAACACATATAACCATAATGGATGCTTTGTCCTTATAGTTCCCTTTGTCTAGCACAACTTTCCCCAATTTCTATTTACCAACTTCTACTTGCCCTTTCATAACAATTTGAGTGCCATACTGTCTGGGATGCCTCTCTGCCTCACTCAGAATTGAGTTAAGTACTGTATATCCTTTTAAGTGCTCAGACACTTGTCTTTTGATACATAACGGCATTCCAGCTGAGTCTCCTAACTGGAAGTAATATTGGAGCACAATGTTCTTGAGTCTATCTTTGCTAAAAATCAATAAAATAATAGGATATCTGTGTATCTACTATATTGAAGGCCAAATGTCTAGGTTGAAAATAAACAAGTTAAGTAACTATCTGAGGGTGGTATACATAGAAGAGCAAAATAGAACCAAAGGAAGCAGAGGAAGGAAACAATAAACATAAAAATAAAGTATTAAAATAATGTAATAAAGAGGGCCAATAGATTCCACATTTCATTCTTGGCAAGGATTAGTAAAATTCATAGTCCTCTGATGAGACTGATTAGGAAATGACACATGTGAAAAATGAAAGAGTGGGCGTCTCTTCAGATCTTATAAATGTTACAAATATTATGAGGGAACACTGTGAATGGCTTTATGCCAATAAAGTAGCAAAAATTCCCAGAGAACTATAACTTATACATAGACCCTTCCCCCCCAAAACCAGAAAATGTGAATTGCCCTAGAACTCTTAAGTAAATGAAATCTCAAGACCTCCATGGCTTCACAAATTAAAGTTATAAAACCAATTTTATAGAAACTCTTCTACAGATTAGGAAAAAAACCAAGAATTTTTTGCAAATAATAGTATTATGAATCCAGCATATTCTTGATTCTTATTCCTGGTAAGGACATTATAACACAAAATAACTTCAGGCTGTTTCCGTCATAAACAAATTTGAAAACAAATATGAAAGAAAATGTTAAATCAAATACAGCAATACATAAAAAGAAGAATACATGACAATCATGTGGAGTTTATCCTAGTAATGCAATTCTGTTTAAAATTAGATTATCCATCAATGTGATTTACCACATTAACAGAATAAAGGAGAACAATTATTGGTATTGGCTGATTGGTGACCAGCCCAATAGATTCAGGAGAAAACATTTCATACACTCAAACTTTATCGTAAAAATTATTGGCAATCTAGTAATAGTTGATATTTTATGCAAAAGTATAAAATTAAATTGTAACATACGTTCGCAATCTCATATGATCCTGTTAATATCAGTTCCATGTAGTGATTTAGATCTCTGAATCTTTTATGATCTGAATCTGTAAAAGGTAAATGCCACCAATGAGGAAACCTGTTTTAAAAGAAAAAAATTGTACATTCATTAGTTCGAAAATTGGACTCTTCATTTTAGGATTGTTTGTGAAACTATAGCTATATCAGATGGGATTACGGCCAATGAAAATATTTTTCTTTAAATCACATGATTGACACTAAGAGTTTCATTAACATGGCTGTGGTCACTTGTGGTATTTTAATTGTCACTAATATTAATACTAATTTAATTTAGCATACTGAACTAATATATCTGTTCCTTCTGACTGTATTTATGGTAGACCACACATTTTGTCCCTTAAACACATGTGGGGGCTTAATAAATATTTCTAAAGCTAATGATTCATAATTTTTCAAGAAGGTCAGATTGCAATGTTTCTTCTGGGTTCACTGGAGACACTGCTACAGGAACTAAATTAAACTC